AGTCAGCCTGTAAGATATAGCCTAGGCTTTGTGATTCACCAGGAAGTCTGACCCAGGACTTCCAAGGTTTCCAGATAAGTTAGAGCCAGTAGAGCCTCTAGGAAGTCCTGGGCAAGATGTGTTTATGTCTCAATTCAGAAGAGACCCTTTCTTGTCAATTTAAACTTCCTTCCCAGAGCAGTTCAGTACTGGATGGTATTTTTGGTAGTATTCACTAAGACATTTGTCTCAATGCATTTAGTGATTTTAAAAACTTATTTAACATCAGGAATATTAACTATCATTTCCCTATTATTGCCTTTGTTCTCATGCCCTAAATTTGGAAACTGGTAACCAGACTGTAAGTTTCTTTAGGCTGCATACTGGATGTTTTTCATTTTGTATCTTTAGTGCCTACCACAATGCCTGGTATATAATAACTGCTCAATAAATGTTTACGGTTGAATAAATGGTTGTAAAGCATCACCATAAACTTGTGAAAAACCAAACCTGTTGTCGTCGAGTCAATTCCAACTCATGGAGATCTCATGTGTTACAGAGTAGAACTGCTCCATAGGGTTTTCTTGGCTGTAATCTTTACGGAAGCAGATCACCAGGACTTTCTTCCATAGTACCACTGGGTGGGTTCGAACTGCCAATATTTTTGTTAGTCACGCGCAAACTGTGTGCACCACTTAGAGACCTTAGCATCACTGTAAGGTCACCCAAAGTCACTATGCTTATCTATTCCTTTTCCTATACTTCCTGTTTTCATCACTCTTATGCCAAAGTCTTAGATGATTGCTAACAACTTGGTACTGCGTCTATGACTCTTTCTTCATACCTCTTCCCCCAAATTTTGTCCATTTTCAAAGATAGTGTTTTGTTTTTCCCCTTGGAGTTTCAAGTATTTTCATGTCTTAATGATTTTAAACATTATTCATAATCTCTGATTCTTCTATTGTCTCAAGTTCTTGCTGGTTGTTATGTCTGCTGACTCTTGCTTATAGTGGATTGTTTACACATGGGTCTTGTGCCTCAGGCTTGTAACCTCACCCTCAGTGGGGGTTTAATCTGTGGATGTCCTAGCTTGCATAGATTGATGGCACATCTCTTAGATAAATTTTATTTCTTCTTCCAGGTACCATAGGGGTTTCATTAGCCTAGAACCAATTTTTATGCCTGTTTTTTGGCTTGTAAGTTCCTAGACCAAATAAGTAGTGTGAATTCAAAACCACAAGCCCCATGAGGGAAGATTCTGTGAATGCAAATGGTCAATGGAGACATTTTTATTCTGTCCACCAACAGCCCAGGTTAAGACATCTCTTTGTCATCTGCCTTGGTGGGTTTTGGATTTTCTTCAAGCCCACATTTCAGTACAAAGGTCTTTTCTTCAAGACCACTTCAAGGGTCTTTCTTTATGTGGGGTCTCAGTTCCAGTTCTTCACCTCATCTCTGTCCCTGACCAAGTGTTAAATCCTAAGCCTCTGGTGTGTTGACTCTTCCCTACAATACAGGCTCATATGGTTCCAGCTTTGGTTCTCAGTTTACTCTTCATTCCTGGTTCTGGATTATTTAATTTCTTTTAAACTTATTAAAACAGATGTTTATTATATGTTTGATGCATTTTTTCCAGGATTTCTTGGTGTTTGTAGTAGAAGGGTTTTTAGACGATTTTGGTAACTTCTAAGAAGTTCTTTCTCCCATTTTTATAAAGAAAAAAGTTGTCAGGTTGAAAGCCAGGCTGCCTAATTTTTTGTCATCAGCTTGCTACGTTGGGCAAGTTGTACAACCTGTCCTTATCTTTTAAATGGTGATAATAAGACTTAAGAACACAGTTATGATAGGCATATCTCTCATGATAGGGATGTTAGGAGATTCAAGTAATAGATGAGAAGGCACTTCAGAAAAAAAAATTTAAAAGCATTCCATAATTGCCAGATAGATTTTGTTTTTTTATTCTAGGGATACATTGGCCTAGAACCAATTTTTACTAGTATTATTAGTAGTATTCTTTTTCCCAGATCCTTCCACTTCCTTCTTCTCCTGTTGCATCTCCTTTTCCACATATTTAGCTTGTGACTGAGAAAAGTGGCCCTATACTTAGGCAGAAGGGTAAACTGTAGCCTCCTGGCTGATTTTACCTAATCAAGTGTGGTGATTACTGTGCTCCAGTCATTTACCCTTGATCCTTGTACAGTTGCTCGGGGTCTTTGCTAGCGAGCAGGCATTAGCACTTCTTGATCTTTTCTCAGTAGAAATGTATTTTTATTTTGGTTAAGATTTTAATAGCACATATAATTAACTATATAGTTCTGTTGCATTGGAGAACTAAAGACCCACTGCCTGAGTACAGATCCTGGCTGCAGTTACCTGTCTGTGGCATGTCACAGAAAGCGAGTATGGGTTGACATAGCTGTCCTGGAGCTACAAGAAACCTGTAAATGCGTGTTAACAGGAGCACTGGGATTCACAATCAGGAATTTTTACAATATGATCTCACACAACACACCCTTTTATAATTTAGAAACTTCAGTTTGAACAAGTTGTGTCATAAAAGGGGCCACAGAAATTAGCAAAGCCAAACATATAATGAAAGACCAACCAGATTTGCAAGGCAAGGAGGGATGTCAGAAATTTCTTGGCTTTTTATTTAAGGCCAAGTTCTCAAAGAGAGCATAGACTTTGCTTCAGGTCAAATGAAGTCATAATTAATTTGAGTTGGGTTAGCCTTTGTTTAAATCAATTCAGTAAGGTTTAGTTTGCTGAACTAAACCCTGGAACCAATTCAATTCACAAAAGAACATACAATTATATTACTCTTATCCCAAGACTAAGAGAAATTTTTAAGTAGATATATTAGGGATATGAAGGAAATATGAGGCTCAAATGGAAAGTGCTTGTGGGGATATCAATAGAAGACTTAGGAAAATGTTTGTGAAAGCCTAGTCTCAGTTATTTGTAGAGTTCAGTGCACAAATTAATACACTTGATTCTCAAATAATCAAACATGTTTTCAAATATTGAATCTTCTTTTCAAGGATAGGATGATACAGCTATAACAGGGTCAACCATGATCGTATATCTTAGTGAATTTTCCAACACATATCATTATTTTATAGTTGGATGACTGACCGATTTCTACTTATCTATAGGAATCGCCTGCAGATATGCATAGATAACATAAATTCTCAGCTAATTCAAACCACTCTTTTTATCCACTTAATGTTAGCCCAACCCTTCATAAAACCTGCTTAGCAGACCTCCTAACAAAATAGACTAGCTTAAAGATCAATTCTCGTAATGTCCTCTGCCTGCCATCTGTTTGAGATGTTAATAAGTCATGAAATGACTAAAAGCAAGAGTCTGAAAGAGACAGAGAAAGAGCATAGGTCCTGAACTGTCAGAAAAAGAGAATAATATCCTCAGGCTAATCAAGGGTTGTTAGCTCGATTGTATGATCAACTGTTATCAGGAATGATGATTAAAACCAACAGCAAATCCAAGAATCATGAAACTAGAATGCATGCTAGTTTTAGGAGAAATCCTAAAGACATAGCATAAAGGCTTTGGTTATGATTGTTATGGAATAGTTAATGGAAGTTTACAATGGAGGCTATGCAAGCAGGCTAGTTTAATTTAGCTAACTTATGCTGAGCACCTAGTATGCTGCTCCTATGGGGATAAAGAGGAGTAAGACCCATTCTCTACCCTCAGGGAGTTCTGTTTTGGAGGGGAGATATCACACAGCTATCTATGCTGATGATAATAATGACTATGTGCCAAGCTCTGTGCCTCCAGCTTTACTTACATTATCTTGAATCCCTTTATCAGTCTTCTAAGGTAATATGCAGAAGAGGAAGCAATATTTTTTTCTCTGAATGTTATCATGCTGCCTCTCAGCACATTGTGTTAAAAGGCCTTACCAAGGACGAACTGGAGTCTGACAGATGTGAGTTCCAGTCTTGGCTCTGCTATATACCTGTGCAGCCTTCTTAATTTATCTGAGCCACAGTTTCCTCATCTGTGAAACAGAGGTAGTAGTATAACCTCAGCTCTCACTTTAACATCCTCAGAAAGACCTTACCAACCACTTGAATAAATCTAATTCCCGTCCCTTTAGTCACTTGATTCCATCACCCTGTTTTAATTTTGTCACAGACTTTATCATCATCTGAAATGATCTTATGTATTTATTTGTTTACATGACTATTGTTGGCTTTCTTACTGAAATGTAAGCTTCATGAGAGCAGAGACGAGGCCTTTCATGATTCCCCCTCTATCCCCAGAATCTGGTTCCTAGCACATAGTAGCATTTGATAAATATTACCTGAACGAGGAGTTGTCTACCAGTTACCAGTTGCCTTCAAATTAACTCCAGCTGATGGCAACCCCATGTGTGTCAGAGTAGAACTGTGCTTCATATTTTGGAAGTAGATGTCTAGTCTTTCTTCCAAGTGTCTTTGGGTAGACCCAAACCACCAACCTTTCTGTTAGCAGCTAAGAAGGTTGACTGTTTGTACCACCCAAGGACTCCTGGGGAGTGGTCTAGGCAAGAAGTAATGGGAATGGAGAGGAAAAAATGACTGTACTTATGCTTACTTTCCTTGTGAACAATTTCCGGTATGTTTCCTTAGAAAGAAAATCACTCATTGAAAGCTTTGAACTATGTTGCTAAGGTAGGTAGGAAGGTATTTTTTTTTTACCATATGGAAGGTTTGAAAATAAATTGAAATTCATCATCCAGTGTGCGATGGTCCACCTTGACCTCAGAAGGGCTTTAGTAAAAGGAGCAATGGGGAAAATACCACGTATAGACACAGAAAATGGAATGTTTCATATATGTGACTGTTGGCTATGCTAGGAGAAAATGTATAACCAGAACTCACCTGAGTAGGTGTTTGGTCTTTCACTCTTTTCCACAAACATTAACCTCAGAGTGAGTGACACGTCTTAGTATGTCTACTAAAGGCATCTCCAGCTGACACTGACATATGCATCTTTGATGTTGTTTGTTTCAGGATTCTGAGAAACGGACCCCCCTTCATGTGGCTGCATTTCTGGGAGATGCAGAGATCATTGAACTCCTGATTCTGTCAGGTAAATAACCACTACGCTCAAAAGTCAATGGCAGATAAAATTTAAATGACCAACTTACTAGATTAACTACTATAATGAACCCAAATAAAATGTCTTTATTATGCTTATGGAAGTTTATTTGATCAGTGATTTTATCAGTATATGAAAGATAATGCAAGAAGTTGTTCTTATTGAAATATGACTTCTCCACTAAAACTTCTACATTGCTTTGAAAATCTGATTCCTGGTTGACTAATCAGGCTCAGCATTGTAGATAAATTCAGTACATTTTGATATCTTTTAATTTTTTAATTGTAAGAAGGAAACTGGTTCCTTAAGGTCTACATATGCCATGGACTGCCAGAAGGAACAAATCTATCTCGGAAGAAGTACAGCCAGAGTGCTCCTTAGAAGTGAGAATGGCGAGACTTAGTCTCACGTACTTTGGGCATGTTATCAGGAGGGACCAGTCCCTGGAGAAGGACATCATGCTTGGTAAAGTCATGGAAAAAGATGGAGACCCTCAGCAAGATGGATTGACACAGTGGCAGCAACAATGGGCTCAAACATAACAACGATTGTGAGGATGGCCCAGGACCAGGCAGTGTTTCGTTCTGTGGTATATAGGGTCGCTACGAGTCAGAACCAACTCGACAGCACCTAACAACAACAAAGTCTACATGAACACATATATATGTGTGTGTATATGTATTTGTGTGTTTCAGTATATACATATATTTAAATTATACTGCAGCACAATACTATGTTTATGGATACATGACTATGTCATAAAAATATAAAAACATGGATGGAAAAGAAACATCAATTTCTGGATAGTGGTTGCCTCTGAGGAGGCAGAGTGAGTGAGATGTCAACATGGAAGTATATAAAAGGACTATAAATCTCTATATAGTATTTTACTTCTTTGTTTAAAAAAATTAGAAGTAAATGTGGCAACCACATTAAATCTGGTTTGTGTACATTGGCGTTTGTTATATTATTCTCTTTATTTTTTCATGTTTTTTAGATATTTCATTACATTTAAAAATGCCAGTGCTTTCATTTTTGGATCTTGTGTGTTCAGAACATCTCACCAAACAGGTTTCCAAAACCATTATGTGCTTTCTCCCTTGAGTGTGTGCTAGACAAATCCCTGGAATGAATCTGAGCACGTGCAGGCGTCTACTTGTAGATTGTGTGCAGACAGGCTGTCTTTCTTCCTCCTCCTGTTTCTTTGGGGAGATTCAAATCTGGAGGAAATGCCTCTGCCCACAGACCATGCAAAAGACCTGTAATAAGATTGTGTCTTTGTTTGCTGTAGTGAAGGGGAACTGTAGAATTCCAAAGTAACTTATGCAAAGGTAAGAGCTGATGCATGTATTCACACAGATGTGGAGAGAGCATTGTAGAAAGGAAATAAGAACTGTACGCTGTGATACACAAGGAAGATTTTTGTTGTTTTTGTGCTTTTGAAGTGGATTTTGCCCAAGAAACGAATATTCTTTGCCCTAAAACATGCGTGCCCCATGCTCCTGACAGTCACATAGATCCAGTGTAGCATTTCTTATGCCACAAGAACAGGCCTTTCTTCTGACAATCTAAAAATGTTCCAAGGCTGTGTTCCAAACAAATGTGTATTGTTAGGTGCTGGCACAGACTATGGCTAAGAGCCAGGGTGCACCTGGCTGGTTGCCCCAGTAGTTGATATTGGCCCGTGGAAAATTGTCGCAGAGTCAGTCAGTGGGGGTGTAAAATGAATTCTGTGGTATGACACCTCATGGTCCCAACCAGCTATACCCACCACCTAAATGTTGTATTAAGACACCTCTCAAGTCTAAGAGGAATGTTTATTTCATGAATGTGCAAACCTAAACTTTGTCTCTGACCCCAATATTTTTCCCCTTACATCTGAAAGGGAAGATTTTAATTCCGCAGCATTAGGCTGACTCATCCATTTTCTCAGGCATTTGGGAGCCGGTGATGATTTGAGAACTTTGGTTTCACATCGGAGCCCTGGTGGCGCAGTGGTTAAGTGCTTAGCTACTAACCAAAAGATAGGCAGTTTGAACCCAGCCGCTGCACAGGGAGAAAAGATGGCACAGTCTGCTTCCATAAACATTTACAGCCTTGGAAACCCTATGGGACAGTTCTACCCTGTCCTGTAGTGTTGCTATGAGTAGGAATCTTTTTTTTTTTTTTTTTAGGTTTCACATCACCCGTACATGGGCATGGAATCCACCAGCCTGTCTTTAACTCTGGCTGATTCAGAAGAGCTGGAAGAGGCTTGGGAGTTTCATATATCTTGACCTATACACCTGTTTGGTCTTGGAATTACGCAGCTGTTAATCTCTCTGGTATAATTTTGGGTAACAGTTGCTGTGGAATTTCTCCTCCTCCCCTCATCAAATTAGGAAGACTTAGGCCATGGGAGAGAAAGGGGGAAATCCTTCAGAAATTTTGTTCAACTGTGGAAACTTAGGCGTACTCTTGCAATTTGTATGGCTTTTATTTTCTCTGAAAGATCTTTTATCCAATTTGTATGTTATATTCCTAAAGAAATATCATTGCAAGAGCATGGTGATTTCATCTCTGAGCTTGCATCTGGCAGCTGACCCTTGAGGGAATCCAACCAAACTGTTTTCCAATTTTATAATGAATGAAGTGCTAATGATTCCCTTGTTGACATATAATCTGGCCCTGCCAGGACCGCCCATTACAGTTGTGTTCTCTGTTGCTGTATTAACTTACAAAGCATAGTGTAACCCAAGCCCGCCAAATTCCTACTGACATTATCTCCTATTAGCCAGGCGGTAGAACCCTGAATGCCTCTGAGCAGACAGGGAGGACAAGGTCTTGCAGAGGAATTCAGGTCTTGCAAACTTCTTATAACTGCCAGTCCACATTCTGCGTTTATTTTCCCCGTGACTCTAGCTTCTGTTTGGGAACTGGCAGAGTCAGGATTAAGGCACAGGGAAAGTCAAGAACTTGTTAAGTCATTTTCAGGGAGACGTATGAGTAAGATCAATGTGAACCAATCAGTGCCTAAGAGTTTAGAGACTAAAGTTGAGATATAGGAAGCAGAACAGACAGAAAAATGACCACTAACAATATCCAATAGAAAAGCTCTAGGCATGAGGTGTGAGAGTCCTGGGTTGGTGGAAGACAACTGGAAGTACCTCCTTTGAACATGAGGTGTTTGTGGGGTGTAGCTACTAGTAAAAAATATAAATTTATTAAAACTTATGCCACCAATCAAGTGGTTTTCCTACTAAATGATTTACTGTGATTTTTCAAAATGTGACAAATTGCTTCAGAGCCAGTGACATGTCATTCTTTTGATTCTCTTATGCATGACAAATATCCATCCTTTGAAGATGGATTTAAGTTTTTGTCTGGTGAAAGATGGGGTGATGGAACCAGGCAATGCAGATTTGAGCCCCCAAATGTGGTGTGATTACAAAGTAATGAGCCATTTTCTCATGGGTGTATAAAGTGGCTCTAAAAGCAACTCCAAGGGGAGTTCAAAACGTTCTGAGCAATTGCCACATACGTGGAATTATCACACATTCTGCCAAGGTACCAACTGTGAAAGAGAGTGCTCCTGTGCTGTAATAAGACTTGGTATATTTGTTAAAAAAAAATCCATAGTAAGCTGATCTCATTGTATTATAATCATATTTAATATGATCTTTCTTTCATATTTATTTATTTCTACAATTAAAAGTTAAAGTTTGGATAAACCCAACCTTAAATATCAATTTTGTTCTTTGGTCTGTAAGATTTTCAGCTCCCTGGCCCATCTTTATCACACCACTTCTTTTCTCTTCCTTCTACCTCTTCCTAGATGACAAGGCTAACCTGAAAACCAAACATGTTGCCGTCAAGTCTATTCCAACTCATATCGACCCTATAGGACAGGGTACACTGCCCCATAGGCTTCCAAGGAGTGGCTGGTGGATTTGAACTGTCGACCTTTTGGTTAGCAGCCAAGCTCTTAACCACTGTGCCACCGGGGCTTGATGATAAGGCTAAAAGAACAGAAATTTTGCCTCTGGAAAATATGCTTAGATTTCTTTTACTTCTGACCTCTATGAAAATAAAATTAACAGGTAATACGAATAAAATGAAAAACATACTTAATTTGTAGTTAGAGTTTGCTTTTGATATTTTTTAGTTGGGCCTTTGTTTCTGTAGAATCAGCATAGGCTAGCACTTGTTTTCATGTTTAAGCTTTAATAAAATGTCCTTGGGTAAAAAGCATTTTGCCTTTAAATCATTAGATATGCAGACCCTGTCCTTCAGTGCACAATGGAGCCTGACAGGCAGGTAAATAATGTGAAGCTTCCTTTAGAAAAATCAGTTATAAATATTCAATCCAGAGCCATGTCATAGCCTCCTTCTGACATATAAACAAGATGCTGGAATGCACTCAGAGGAAGAGGATGAGGAAGCCAGCAGCAGGAGATGACAATGACGAAATGTGGCATGGATCTCTGTTTAGATAACTCTGACTTTGTAATAATTTTTCTTTTTGGAGAAAGACACGGTTTCCCTGGCTACTGCCTACTCGACCTTTTGAGGAGAATGAGTGGCGGAATGGAGGGCTTAGCGAGTGACTGAAAGAAGCCATTTCCTACATTTCTAATTATATTTAAATTCCTCAAGTGATTCTGAAGCAGCTCAAAAACAAGGCTGGTGCTCTTACACACTGGGTGTTGCTGCTCTGTGATGCCCAGCGTGCTTAGCAGCATAAGTACCTGTCAGTACATGTTTCTCTTGGAAGAATCTTAACATTACAAGCCCCATTTGGATCTACATAAAGCTAAAAATTTCTAGAATATACAAGTAATAATAAAAGAAATAACAATTGTTGTTAGGTGCTGTCAAGTCGGTTCTGACTCGTAGCGGCCCTATGTACAACAGAATGAAACACTGCCCTGTCCTGCACCATCCTCACAATTTTTGCTATGTTTGAGCCTATTGTTGCAGCCACTGTGTCAGTCCATCTCATTGAGGGTCTT